AAAGAGTGTTAATAAGAAATCAATAGGCATTTCTAGATATATTACTCAAAAGAATCGACACAATAGGCCTAGTCGATTGGAGTTGAGAAAATTCTGTCCCTATTGTTACAAACATACAATTCACGGGGAGATAAAGAAATAGATGGAATTGATCAACTGCGTGTGACTTTTACAAGGAAGATGAAAAATGACATATTGACATATCATATATTAGCATATCATATGTTAATATATATATTTAAATAGAAATAAGCAAAATCCTATTTCTTAATTCGAAATCATTAGCATTTTTGATCCGATCAAAGGAAATAGGATTCTCGAAAAAAGGAATAAAATAAACAAGCCATGGATAAATCCAAGCGACTTTTTCTTAAGCCCAAGCGATCTCTTCGTAGGCGTCTGCCCCCGATTGGATCGGGGGATCGAATTGATTATAGAAACATGAGTTTAATTAGTCGATTTATTAGTGAACAAGGAAAAATATTATCTAGACGGGTGAATAGATTGACTTTAAAACAACAACGATTAATTACCATTGCTATAAAACAAGCTCGTATTTTATCTTCATTACCCTTTCTTAATAATGAAAGACAATTTGAAAAAAAACGAGTTGGTCGCTCGAACTACGGGTCTTAGAACCAGAAAAAAATAGACTTACTCTTTAATTGAATCAAAATTTCAATCCGAACTCAAACGTCGGTTGATGTTTTGTTCGAGAAAAATCCAGGAATACAGATTTGATTGTCGTGTCGTAAAAAAAACGAATTGGGTAAAGTAAATAAAAAAATAAATATTTTTTTATTGAATGTTTTTGTTCAGTTTGACTACTTGATCATATTATGATCATATTTTATCATACTTATTTCTATTCTACCTTCCCGGAATTCATTTTCCAAGTAATTCCATGTCAAAGTCAAACATTCCGAAGGATTCCTTCCAATCTCCTTATTTTATCATGTCATTGGAAATCAGATAAAGGCAATTCCTATTTAATATAGCTAGTTGTGCAAGTATTTTACGATTAAGAAGCAACTGTCTCTTGTACAGATTGTTTATTAACGTACTATAACTATAGGATACTGCATTCTCGCGAATTGCTGCATTTATACGAGTGACCCATAAACACCGAAAATTTCTTTTGTGCCTATCTCTATCCCGATAGGCCGAAAACAAAGCTTTTATTTTTTGTTGAATAATAGTTCGAGTAAGTCTTGAATGAGCCCCACGAAAGCTTGATGTGAATAAACGAATTTTTGTTCTACGCCTCCGAGCTATATATCCTCGTCTAATTCTGGTCATTGAATAAACGAAACTTTGATAAATAACTAATTGATTTCCTTTCTTTCAGTTATTCTTTTTCCCTTTTCTAGAATAACAAAACGGATTCTTCCAATGTATAAAATAATAATTCCAACGGCTTTTGCTACTCTAACCTTCCCAACCACTATTTTTTCTTTTTTTTTTTTTATAAGCATTTCGCCTTGAAATAAGAAATCTTATTGGTACTAGGTATCAAACAAAAATAACAAAAATATAGTAAATAAAAATAAGTAGTAATTAAGTAGTAAATAGAAATGGATAAATAAATAGTGGGTTCCATCGTTTCTATGGTTATTTCTTAAACGGCGAGGTCCTCTCTATACACCGGAGCCCCTTACTTGATCGAATCAATGCTATTGTTAACTTGTACAGTTTACACTTTTTGGCTCTACCCATGAATTCCTCAGTAGTAGGTCTTTCACAACGAGATCCGTTTTTACAGTAACGGTATTTAATTATGTGGATTAGCTGATTAGCTGACCTTGTTAGTCCGTTCTTGCAAGAGTAGAGGCATCCATTTTCGGCTTTTTAATTTAAATAAGATTTGCCCTGCTTAACAGATAATCATTTGCTACCAATGGGGAATTCTTTCGCATTTTCAATTGAAAATTGAGGTAATTGAATTTGCACCAATAGAAACCATAAATTTGATACACAATAGAAGCATATTCTAGATCTTTTTTTTTTCATTTTAGATAGTGAAGGGGAGTCTTCCATTCTATCCTATTCATCGGTACTGATCACGGATAGTGGAAAAATTCTTTCTTTTGTCCCCACCCACAATCTGAAATCTGAACGAGTCGCACATACACCCTAGTACATGTCCCTCGGCGCTGAGGGCATCCCCCGAGAGCGGGGGATTTGGTGACATTTCTGATTGGCTAGCTTTTGTTTCTAATAAGTTGTTTAATAGTTGGCATGTTGAATCGTATGCATAATGGGCTGGTTTAGATCGATCCTAACCGGATGATTATGAATTCTTTCTATATTCATATTCTATTTTAATAAAATATTAAAATAGAATATGAAACCTCGGTAAGAAACTAAAATCTCAAATCGCGATTTGTGTGAAATTCCTGCTATTTTTTATGCAACTGCTACAAGATCAACAATTCCATGAACTTGGGCTTCTGCTGCTGACATAAAAACATCCCTTTCCATGTCTTCAGATACAACCCATAAGGGTTTGCCTGTTCTTTGTGCATAAACCCTTGTGAGGATTTCGCGTAGTTTCAGTAGTTCTTCCGCTTCTAGGAAAAATTCTCCTATTTGTGCTTCATAAAAAGCAGCAAAAGGTTGATGGATCATTACCCTGATGATATAAGATAATAAAGGGTTACTTTATCTCGCATAAGAAGGTCACGAGAAGAGATAAAGAATAAAAAAAAAGATAGAATTGAACAACCATACAGGCATTGCTTGCGCATTGCATACGGCTCTACAAGAGAATTCACTTTTACCGAAGAAAAATAGAGAGTCTACAAAGCCTAGGTCGGTAAATGATGCAATGACCACCCTTTCCTTGGGAGGAATTAAGAAAAACAAAATACTATGGTGGCTCCGTTGCTTTATTTCATCGGTGATTTAGCAATCCCAAAGTTTCTTTTTTTTTCAAATAAAAAAAAAGAAAAAAGAATATAATCTTTTTTTTTGTCCTCTTTCATAATTCATAATAATATAAATAACATTAAGAACCTTCTGGTGTGAAAACAAAAAAAAAAGTTTGCGACACTGAAATAGGCTCCCGATAAAATCGGAACTACCCCTAATATCTCATACTACTCTTTCAATATATAATCTAATGTTAAAACGAAATAAAAAAATTTCTTATATTGAATTCGGAATGCCATGCTATTATTACTTAATATTCATATTTCATATGGCGAAGGCATAGTTTTCTTTTTTCTTTCAAATAAAATAAAAACTCATTGGCGCCAAGCGTGAGGGAATGCTAGACGTTTGGTAATTTTTCCTCCGACTAGGATAAAAGATCCCATTGAAGCGGCTAATCCCATGCATACTGTTTGTACATCTGGTCGCACAAATTGCATAGTATCATAAATAGCTATTTCGGGTATTACCCATCCGCCAGGAGAGTTGATAAACAAATACAAATCTTTGATCTCACTTTCTGTACTAAGATATACCATAAGACCGATAAGTTGATTCGAGATCTCACTATCAATATCTTGACCTAAAAAAAGTAATCTTTCTCGATAAAGTCGGTTGATTAGGATCAAATTCTATCCCTTAGGAACCGTACATGCACCTTTTGATGCATACGGTTCATCAAAAATCGTGAAAAAAAGAATCAATATGTAGATCCCATTTAACGAATAACGAAGGTGTTTTTCCTCCATTTTTCAAGAAAGATGGTTTTTTTACCCGTTTACCTATAAATAAAAAAAATTCATTAAACTTATCAAACTAACTTCTCATTGATGTATTCTTTCATCGAGATCCAATTCAAATCACGATAACATTCTCTTGTTTCTGAGTGGGCTTCTTTAATTCTTTTAGGTTTGTGCTCTACTCCGAGTAAAGATCTGCCCGATTTGGATTTGCACATATAGGGCAAATGCTCCCAATACCGTCTTTTTGCTACAACTTCCTTTTTTTTTTCAATTCATTTCACGCCTTCCACAAAATATTTGACGTATTTATCAAATTATTCGATTCATTATGATTAGTAGTTTTAAATTACTCCTATTTCTAATTTATAAAATTTATAAATAGAATATGATACAAATAGTAATCATGGATATAATACTAATTGGGTTTTTCTAAGCGGAGCCTGGATACTTCATTTTATTGGTCCAAACAAGCTAACCATAAATTATTCTAATTGATAATATTAATCTGAATACCTCCAAAGCATAGATCTAATTGCACTTTATTGCCCCTTCACGCTCTAATTTTTGGATGATTTAATCAATCCTTCTTTGGTGAAACAAAGGATATCTCGATCGGGGTAGAGAACGGGGAAATCCCATAATGACCCAATGTCTCTGACAAGTCGCACTATACGTCAATCCAATTTGAACTATCCTCTTCGGGATTTCGAAAAGGGACTTTTGGAACACCAATAGGCATTAAATGAAATAAAAAAAAATGAAGTACTCTATTTCACTTTGATGTGAAAGCGTAACAATGAATTTATTGTCTTAATAATATTATATGAATTTATTGTCTTAATAATATTATATTGGATATTGGCTTTTATTTTATTATTTTTTCTATTTTCTTTATTTTTTTGTTTTATTTTATTTGTTATTTGCGCAGATTCGATAAGTTCATAACATAAAAAAAAAAGACAAAATGAATAAAGTCAAATTCTTACGAATAGGCTCTTTGAATGATGAACAAATCCGTATGCATTCGCTCATCTAAAATGGAGTCAACCTCCCATTGCGTATTGGTACTTATCTGGTATAGAATAGATCTGCTTCTCTTTGTTCCTATAAACAGAATTGTGACATTCTGACTAAAATACTAAAAAAAAAATGGAATCCTTTCTCCGAGATAATCCACTAAAAAAGGGAGGTCCATAACATAGTTTTTTCCAGTGCATTAAAGTTACATAGTGTCTATCTTTCGTTGATAAGGGGGTATTCCATGGGTTTGCCTTGGTATCGTGTTCATACCGTCGTATTGAATGATCCCGGTCGTTTGCTGGCTGTCCATATAATGCATACAACTTTGGTTGCTGGTTGGGCCGGCTCAATGGCTCTATATGAATTAGCAGTTTTTGATCCTTCTGACCCCGTTCTTGATCCAATGTGGAGACAAGGTATGTTCGTTATACCCTTCATGACTCGTTTAGGAATAACCAATTCATGGGGTGGTTGGAGTATTACAGGAGGAACTATAACGAATCCGGGTATTTGGAGTTATGAAGGTGTGGCTGGGGCGCATATTGTGTTTTCTGGCTTGTGCTTCTTGGCAGCTATCTGGCATTGGGTGTATTGGGATCTAGAAATCTTTTGTGATGAACGTACAGGAAAACCTTCTTTAGATTTGCCCAAGATCTTTGGAATTCATTTATTTCTCTCAGGAGTGGCTTGTATAATCATGAATGCTTGACGAGATTTACAAGTATTAGCATTAATTGAATAAGATGACTAATGTAATCATGTTAACAATCTATAATCTGATTGAAACCTCCTTTGTGTGTGGTTTCCAATTGACTAATAAGAGTTTATACTATACTTGTTTGACATACCATGAGTGGATCCTCTAACCTTGACATTTATTGTTATCGTTGTTAAATCTTTACGTTAATATTTCATCTCAAAGTTCTCATCTTCTTCTTCTTCTTTTTCTTTATTATTATTATTATTATTATTATTAGTATTACTACTACTACTATTATTAGTACTATTATTAGTACTATTATTATTATTATTATTGCTATTATTACTATTATTATTGTTATTGTTGTTATTGTTGTTGTTGTTGTATTATTGTTATTTATAATTTGTACAATTAACCTCCATGTGGTTCGACCCCGGTCTTGTCGGGTTATTTATTACTTCGACACTCCTACACTTGGGAGAAGACATCAATCTTTTAGTCGTGTCAGGGATCAATTACAAAAATAAAAGATTGTAGTTGGTCAATCAATTGTTCAGTAGTAGCAGCAAAGATTATGATTTGTCGTGCCAAAGATGTTAGAAATTCATGTTCCACAGCATGATCAAGAAACGATAACAACTTATCATAATAACCATTAATATTTAACAGACCTATGAGTTTATTGTGAATGTGCAGTTGGGCCCAAGATAAGATATGAAAGATCTCTTCCAATGTGCCAACACCACCTAGTAAGGCAATGAAGGCATTAACATGGTTAAACATTGCATTCATTCGAGCAGATATTGTAGAGACATGTAGTTCCTTTGTAATTGTTTTTCCAATGATGTCCTCTTGTGCTAAAGCTTTGGGAACGACCCCCAAAACTTGACTATCTCCTAAAAATACAGCTATTGACACACCTCCCATTAACCCAAGATTGCCTCCTCCATACACTAAATGAATCTTTCTCTCAGCTAGCACCTGACCAAGATGATTTATTGATTCTAAAAATTCCTTTTCTTTCCTAGGACTAGATCCATCGAAAACACAAACATTTCTTATGTGATGACCTAAGGAACTTGCCATTTCTACACACTTCTATATTTGTTGAATGTATGGGTTGAGTAGAAATGAAAGAAAGAAAGAGAGGATTTTATAGATGAGAAATTAAAAAGGCAATCATACCACCTACATGTAGGCCAGTTGGAGTCGTACTCTCTCTCTCTCTCTCTCTCTATTTATTTATTTATTTAAAAAAACATGTGTATGTATAGGTAGTTGTGATTGTGGCTCATATCTTCCCTTCGTTTTACGTTCAAGAATGGCTGAAACGCCCTCTATGGGTCAGGGATAGGCTTCACATCCAGTTTTCTTAAAAAATTGGCAAATAGGGTTTTTAATCAGATTCCCAAGACTATGCCAATCATGTTCTTTATAAAAATGGGTTCATAAGTCATGAATTGCACAATGCTGATCTCGACTATGATGAGACTTAAGAGTTAATAAAAGATTATCTAAAGACTCTCTGTGTTTTGAAATAAATCCCACCTTTTGATAATTTTCACAAGTTCTGTGGAATGCATGTGATTCCTTAAATATGGTGGCCCAGTAAAATCTACTTTGTAAGATTTCTACAGTCCTTTTTCTTGACAAGAAATGATCCCCACGTGCCTTAGAGTGACAAAATTTAATGACATTACTTATCTCATTGTCGGGAATACATCTTTGAAATATGTGATCAGGATAATAATTGAATAAGTAAGGGTCATCCCAATAAAATTTTTACACGTTGCTCAAAAATTTCTTTTGTATTTGGTACTTTAGTGAGCTGGCAAAAATCCTGAAGTAAGAAAATTGATAGTTTTAGCAAACCAAGGTATTGAACTAAGAGAAAGTAAAGATTCATCAGAAAAGTAATCATCGATTGATGTGATGTCGAGTATTGAATCTGTTGTCACTTTTGGTAAAAGATCCGCATCAATATTTTCGATGCCTTTTTCATCCTCGATTTTTTCCTGATTGGTCATAACATGAGAAAATAAAAGTGCTGGCAGAGAATCGGTCTCTTCTTTGCAATGTTCAAATTCAACCCCTTCCTTACCCTTAGAGATTGACTTATCATTTTTCTCACATGGTTCAAGAATTGGTTTTTGAATAACCTTACCAGTACAAAGAGTGATGATTGATTTGACTTGATCCAAGTGTTGACTTCCAGAACTACTTGCATTTACATTGTATTGCCCCTTGGGATTTTGCTGTGGTCGAGATGGAAACTTACCTTTCTCTTAAAAACTGAGTGCAGATGTTAATTTTACAAGAGTATCTTTAAAATCTATCATGTTTTGAGTAAGTTAAGTATTGATTGTCTCTTGCTTTTCAATAAATTCATACAATGTTTCCTCAAGATTTCTTCTAAGAGGTGGAGCATAAGGAGGTGCATATCCATGAGAATTTTGGAAATTGTGTTGTGCTTGAAACGGTGGTTGTGATGTTTGTACATTGTTATTATCACTCTTCCAACTGAAATTTGGGTGATTTCTCCAACCAGGGTTGTATGTTTGTGAGTATGGGTTGTGGTTGGCCCTTTGAAAACTGTTTAAAGCATGAGCTTGTTCATGGAGACATTCTTTAAAAGAAGGCAAGGTTGGACAATTATTGGTTGAGTGTTCATTTGTTTCACATATTTGACACACAATGTTTTCAACATATTTTAATTGACCACTCTTTTTCAATTTTAGTGCCTCGACTTTTCTAGCTAAAGATGCAAACTTGGCTTGGAGGTCATGATTTTTTTTAAGGTTATAGATACCTCCACTAGATGTATGAGATTGAGTTTTACTCGGTGCTTCATAAGTACTCGCGGTGTCCTAATTTTGAGCATTTTCACCTAACAAGTTTAAGTACTCCATTGCTTCATGAGAGTCTTTATCTTTAAAAGTTC